GACTATGATGAGAACTGGAGGTTGAGACTCAAAACAGGAGAGAATTGGCTTTCTTCCCGTCTCTTCTATTGTTTTTCTTTTCTTTGCAAACTTTATGAACTCGGATTTGGCATTTTGAAATTCCTTTGGACAACAGTGGGAAGCTGGCCTCAAAGAAAATTCTGAAGTAGGAGTGGGAAGGGGAGAAAGAGGAATCTGCAGCCTGGATTTTGCAAACAAAGGCCAATTTTCTGCTTACAATTTATTGCAGAAGAAACATGTTATGATCTTTGGCACTGGGAGTTCTACAACACTTAGGTCTTCCTAAACAACCACTTTGACTGCCTTCCAAGGGTCCTTGTATCCTCAGAGTATTTTACTGCAACTTTCCCCAAAAAAATCCCATCTGTGTGATCCCACTGGCCAAATACAAATAATATCAACTATCTTCCTTGCATGTTCAGGTCCAGAAACAAAATCCAGTAGCACAGCAGCCAATCACTGAGAAAAGAAAACAGATAGAAATCATGAAGTTCAGATTGATCAGGATCTGGGCTCATACATTATTTTGGAAGTAACATGCCTGGTGACATAGCCCCTAGGAGTCTCTTCTCCTCCTTGGAACATTCTTGTCCACTCCAACCAACTTGTTGCAACTCTGAACTTCACCATTATTTGGTGAATCACCAAATCAACATTATTTTATTGATTTTGGTTTTTCTCCTTCCATGTTCACACTAGAGAAATTTCAACAAAACTTTCCCTTCGACAAACCCTGGATTTAAAGGGCAATATCATAGCAATAACTCATATGCATATTGAAAAGGAGTGTCTTATTATGGTCATGTAATATTAATATTTGAGGTCTTGCCTGTCTTCTCCCCAGATGCAGAGAAGTGCACAAGATGTCCAGAAGATCAGCATCCAAATAAAGACCAAACCAAATGTATTCCCAAGAAAGTAACCTTCTTGTCTTACAAAGAAGGCTTGGGGATAATCCTCGCTTCATTTAGCCTCTTCTTGTCTTTGGTCACTGCCTTCATCTTAATACTCTTCATCAAATTCTTAGAAACTCCCATAGTCAAGGCCAACAACCGGGACCTCTCCTACATCCTCCTGGTCTCTCTCCTGCTGTCCTTCTTGACTTCCCTCCTCTTTATTGGTCGTCCAAGGGTAGCCACCTGCATTCTCAGGCAAACTTCCTTCAGCATCATCTTCTCTATTGCAGTGTCTTCCATCTTAGCCAAAACAATCACAGTGGTGCTGGCTTTCCTGGCCACAAGACCTGGGAATGCTGTGAGGAGATGGCTGGGAAAGACTTTAGCCAACTCCATTGTTCTTTCTTGCTCTGGTCTCCAAATTGTCATCTGTACCACCTGGCTGGGAGTTTCTTCCCCATTCCCTGAAACTGATACTCACTCCCACCCAGAAGAGATTGTTCTGAAGTGCAATGAAGGCTCTATCACCATGTTTTATGGTGCCCTCTCATACATGGGCTTCTTGGCTGCCATCTGCTTCACGGTGGCTTTCCTGGCCAGGAACCTCCCTGGGACCTTCAATGAAGCCAAGCTGATCACCTTCAGCATGCTGGTCTTCTGCAGCGTTTGGGTATCTTTTGTCCCCACCTACCTGAGTACCAAAGGGAAGTACATGGTGGCCGTGCAGGTCTTCTCCATCCTGGCCTCCAGTGCTGGACTGCTGGGCTGCATCTTCATTCCTAAATGCTACGTTATTTTGGTACGACCTGACCTGAATACAAAGGAGCAACTAACGGCAAAAACTAAAGATGACTTGAAAGTAAATGCAAAATAATCCTTATTGTCATAACCCTCTCAGGTGCCCCTACATCATAGCTTGATTAGATATTCCAGGGGAATTTGATGGACTGTTTGAAGTGCTTTATACTTTCCACTACAGGAGAAAATACATATAATGATACAATATGTCTAGACTCTTTGGGGAAAATGTTCCATGGGGAGAGCAGTATTTCTGGATCCTCTTCTTGAAGATTGTTTGAATTAAAAACCTTGATGACAGAAAGAACATGTTAGAATCTTCAAACATGAAAACACTCTACCAAAATTAATTCATTGAGAAATGTTTCCAGTTGACGGAGTTCTTCAAAGAATTATCAAACCTGTAGGTATATTCCAGTGATTGTGAACCTTTTAGAGACCGAATGCCCAAACTGCAACCTAAAACCCACGTATTTATTGCCAGGTGCCAGGTGGGCATGGCCCACTGGGTGGGCGTGGCTGTGGTGGTCATGGCAGATTGGGTGGGTGTGGCCAAGGTGGGCATGGTCACCTCAATGTTGCTCATGGGAGGGATGCCTGTGGGGGAGGGCAGGGTTGGGGGAGATCCAGGGGGTCTCTGGTAGGTGGGGCAGGAGGCAGGAGGCTCGTCCTGCAGGGAGAGGCATGGCAGGGCAGGGGTGCCATTGCCATGGGGCAAGGCAAGGGGCAGCAGCTGCCTGACACCATCGGCCCTGCATACAGAGGCCAGTGAGCGTATGGGGGCCGACAGTGTCCATCAGCAGCCACAGTCTGCCGGCCCCTTGACCAGTGCACTCTGGAGCTCTGCAGCCCACCGCAGCAGTTCAAAGAAGCTGCCTCTGAGATGGATGGCCGGCCAACAGCTGAGGAGGCGATGCAGTGGGTTATGCCCAGAAAAAGGAGAGCATGCAAGGCCAGGAGGGATGGGATGGGGGGAGGGAAACCAGCCGTGCCGGGATGCATCCAGCCATGTGGGACCTCGGTTAGTTAGCAGGCAGCTGGTTGAAGGACAGTTGCCATCTCTGGCACATGGCACGCATGCCCACAAAGAGGGCTCCGAGTGCCGCCTCTGGCACGTGTGCCACAGTTTGCCACCACTGGTATATTCAATATTTTTATGCTTTGGAATTTTAGTCTAGTATTAAAAGATGAAATGTAATATTGAATGATACTCCTTAACTGTTGACATCACACTCCTCACATAGAAATCAGACTGGCTCTACATCTTTCTGGACTTCCTGATCCAGAATGATGGATTTCAAGCACAAATAGATCCCAGTTGTGAAAATGTGAAGAAACAAATTTCTAAGAGAACGTGCAGCTGGGCAATGGTGCCAATCAATCTGAGATGTGGGTGCAGTAGATCAACAGTCTCCAACCTTGCTGGTCCAGGATCTACTTTGGAAGAAAATTTGTCTTCCACGGAGTGTGATGTCCCTGAGGATGTCAAAAAACGATCTCTGTAGTTCCATTTGGTGGCTGGTCATGTGATGGCAGAGACTTGAATACAGTACAAGACAGGGCAGCATCCATGATGGTGAAAGGTGGATGTTTTATGGAAAAACCTTATATAGAGGGAAAAAATGAGTCATGTTCTGAACTATCTTAAGGAGAAACAACATATATAGAAAAGGAGTCGTTGCACCAGAGAACCGAGACTGGGAAGAAAGGTTGGCAAATGTTTAGCTAGCTGATTTGATCGAACGGAATGTTGTGATTCATGTTTTTTCTGGTTTGCATCATTCTTTGGGAAGAGCTTGTAATAATGATCACAAGTGGTTAAGGTGTTGGAAGTAAAAACTGGGAAACCATGAGTTCTAGTCCCCCTTAAGCATGTAAGCCAGCTGGGACTGTCATTTTCTCAGCCAACACATCTCACAAGGTGATTGCTCTCAGGAAAAATAAGAGGGGATATTCAATTTATTTATACAAATTATCAGCTGTCCATCTTACCATAGGGTAACTCTGGGTGGCTTATAGTTACAATTACAGTTAAAACATAAATAATTAAAATCAGACATTAAAAGCTAAGGACACATGGGGAGGGCGGGGCAGAATGGGGAGAGGTGGGATTTGTTATTACTGGATCAATCATCTCCACTGTGCTATTCCCCCCACTGGGAACCCAAGCTGACTGGCAAAATCTGGTCTTGAGGCCCTTACGAAAAGATAGGAGGGCTGGGGCCAACCTCACATGGGAGGGGTAAGATGTTCCAGAAGGCAGGAGCAACAGCAGAGAAGACCCTCCTCCTGGACCCCGCCAGTCAAAATAATCAGTCTGATGGGACCCATAGCATGCCTTATCTACTGGCACGAGTGGGACGGGCGAATCCCAGTGGGATGAGGCAATCTCACCAGTAACTTGGATCCGTGCCAAGAAGGGCTTTAAAGGTGATCAGCAAAATCTTGAATTGCACCTGGAAGCAAGCTGGTAACCAGTTTTGATGTCTTTTTTAAAGAGAGGTTTTACATTGGCACCCATGTCCAGCTGAGCCAAGTAATCATCCATCTTTCATCACCAGATACTTCCTCTTCTAACTCAGAAAAACTTCCACTGGATCAATCAATAATGATTCAAACTTCCTTCCAAATCAAAGGATTTCTGCATTGCATAGGATTCCCTAAGGCAGTGGTGGCGAACCTATGGCACGGGTGCCAGCGGTGGCACTCAGAGCCCTCTCTGTGGGCACACGCGCCGTCGCCCCAGTCCTAGGCCTTCAGCTGAGTTTTCCTTTTTGCTTTAGGCCTCCGCCGCCATGTGCAAAAAAAAAAAAGGTTCAATTAATCAGTCAATTTCAACTTCTTGCAAGAAAAAAAAGATCTTGCAAAGTTCAAATTGATTGATTGAACTTTTTAGTCCCACCCAGTCTGCTGTTACCATCACAGCCACGCCCACCCAGTGGGCCACACCCACCCAGCACCCAATGATGCATGTGGGTTTTGGGTTGCAGTTTGGACACTCGGTCTCTAAAAGGTTCGCCATCACTGCCCTAAGGAGCTATGGGTCTGGAATTCAACCCAAACTCTACATGCAATCACAGCTCTAATAATTAATTGGAAAATATTATTTGAGAACAAGAGAATGAAACCTTTTTACCTTCCACTTTACAACTGTGGAACACTGCCAGGATTCCTGTCCTAACCCACTGTGTAGGTTAAAAGTCTCGTAGAGAGAAAGAATCAAGTTAGGAGGCTGATGCTTTATAAAACAATTCTGCAAACTAACCTTTGAAAGAGAGAAAGCCAAAAGGTACATTTTTTTATTCAAGAAATTACATCACAATGAAGCCAAGATCACCCAACTGTGCCTTAGAACCAGCATGGATTTTTCTATCTCATTACAGTGAGGACACCAGAAGAGTAAATAAAACACAGAAAGTGTTGACAACCCTTGTAATTAAAAATCTGATCAATCAGAGGGGTACCAAGAGAGATGCAAACTAAGGTTTTAGCTGCAAAGAGCGAAAATTCCAGAGTTGCTCTACTGTCACTTCTGGGTGCTTCTACCATATTTCCCCCAAAATAAGATCTAACCGGAAAATAAACTCTAATGCGTCTTTTGGAGCAAAAATTAATATAAGACCCAGTTTTGTTTTGAGGGAAACACGGGTACTGGCAATAAATTGAGAGAGATAAACAGTAAAGGGTGTCAAAGTGGATCTTCCCAAAAAGATTAGATTCAGGGTTCCGTAAGGACAAATGCTTAATATCACTCAAGTAATCAGTTGTAGTTATTCTTCTCCATTCTCTTCAGAATCGTTCCTTATCTTCCACCTTCTAACATTTCATTCGGGGGGGGGGATAGTGTAAGACTGTAGCCTGCAAAATTTTTGATGCACAATCCAGTTCTAGTCTGTTTTTATGGGTTTGCCTTGAATGGGTTTTTCTATGCTCATAAAGGGACCGATGCCGAGTAAATACCATTCCCCATACAATTATATTTTTTTTCATGCGTGTGGATTCTTTGATGGGAAGTGAGGGACTCTGACTCAGAGAAACATTTTCCACACTCCATGCATTGATATGCTTTCTCCCCAGTGTGGACTGTGTTACGTTCGGTACAATGATGTTTTTGACTGAAGCTTTTGTCACATTTCTTGCACTGATATGGTTTCTCCCCTGTATGGATCCGTTTATGGGAAGGGAGATATTTTTGAGAACGGAAGCTTTTTCCACACTCCAGGCATTTATAAGGTTTCTCACCAGTGTGGATTCTGTTATGTATAGTATAATTATATTTTTGTCTGAAGCTCTTTGCACAGTTCTTACATTCATAGGGTTTTTCCCCAGTGTGGATCCTTTTATGGGAGGTGAGAGAACTTGAAGCTCTAAAGCTCTTCCCACACTCCAGGCATTTATATGGTTTTTCCCCAGTGTGGATCCTTTTATGTGAAGCGAGAGAGCGGGATTCAGTAAACCGTCTTCCACAGTCAGCGCATTCATATGGCTTCTCACCAGTGTGAATCCTTTGATGGCAAGTAAGGGAACGTGACTCCGTAAAGCATTTCCCGCATTCCATGCATTTAAATGGTTTCTCCCCAGTGTGGATTCTGCTATGTCTAGTATAATGATGTTTTTGACTAAAGCTTTTTCCACAATCCTTACATTGATATGGTTTTTCCCCAGTGTGGATCCTCCTATGGATAGCAAGGGAACCAGAATTCGTGAAGGGCTTTCCACACTCCATGCATTTATATGGTTTTTCCTCGGCATGGAACTTTTTATGGGAAGTAAGAAAACTGGAAGCTCTAAAACTCTTTCCACACTCTGTGCATTTATATGGTTTCTCCCCAGTATGGATTCTGTTATGTTCAGTGTATTGATATTTCTGAATGAAGCTCTTGCCACATTCTTTGCATTTATACGGTTTCTCCCCAGTGTGAATCCTTTTGTGGTAAGTAAGGTGACTGTTCTTGTGAAAGCCTTTTCCGCACTCTGTGCATTTATATGGTTTCTCTTCAGTGTGGATTCTGCTATGTATAGCATACTGATAGTTTTGACTGAAGCTCATTGCACAGTTCTTACATTTGTACGGTTTCTCCCCAGTGTGGATCCTTTTATGAGAAGTCAGAAAACTTGAAGCTCTGAAGCTCTTTCCACATTCCATGCATTTATATGGCTTTTCGCCAGTATGGATCCTTTTGTGGTAAGTCAAGGAACCTGATTCAGTGAAGCATTTTCCACACTCCACACATTTATATGGTTTCTCCCCTGTGTGTTTTCTTTTATGGAAACTAAGATGCTTTGCAGAACGGAAACTCTTTGTACATTCCGTGCATTTATATGGTTTCTCCCCAGTATGGATTCTTATATGGGAAGCAAGTAAAACTGAAGCTCTGAAGCTCTTCCCACACTCCTGGCATTCATATGGTTTCACCCCTGTGTGGATTGTTTTATGAGAAGCGAGTGAACCTGACTCACTGAAGCATTTTCCACACTCGGTGCATTTGTATGGTTTTTCCCCAGTGTGGATTCTTTTATGGCAAGTGAGGGAACTGGATTCAGTAAAGCATTTCCCACACTCCATGCACATGTATGGTTTCTCCCCTGTGTGGATTCTGTTATGTACCGTATAACTATGCTTTTGATTGAAACTCTTTCCACATTCTTTACATTCGTACGGTTTTTCCCCAGTGTGGATTCTTTTATGGCAAGTGAGGGAACGAGACTCGGTGAAGCATTTTCCACACTCGGTGCACTTATATGGTTTCTCTCCCGTGTGAATCCTACTATGGCAAATAAGATGACTTGGATTTTTGAAACACTTTCCACATACCGTGCATTTGTATGGTCTTTCTCCTGTGTGGACCCTGTAGTGAGAAGTAAAATGACTTAAATCTTTGAAGCACTTTCTACACACCAGACATTGGTACGGTTTTTCTCCTTGTATTCTCTGACATAAAGTAAGGAGGAAAGTCCTTCTGGAGCGTTTTCCACTTTCATTCTGTTTCTCTGCAGTGTGGCTTCTGCAACCGTTGCATAACCCTGATTCATCTGTGGATATTTTTCCACACGTCGGACACACTTTTCTTTTTGGATGAACATCTTTGGCTAAGAAGACACGGATATCTACACATGGTAAAGCAGAGCATTTTCCCAGCTCCCCCTTTAACTCTTTTTCCACAGAACTTTGCTTCCCAGAAAACTTTTCCGCAACTTCCTTTTTGTCTTTTGGCAAAGGTGTTGCTGCCTCTTGGCCGGAACTCTCCATCTCCCATCCATCATCTGTTTCAAATAGAAAAAAGAAAAAGGAAAATTGACACAAAGTGAGGTGCAAATGGGATCAAGCATCATTGTTGCAAGCCCTTATCTGAACACTATTAAAACTTCCCTCCAGCTTCCCTTCCTTTTAGCTCTTTTTTGTTATTCCTCTACCTGCTTCTATCAGAGTGTGTTCATAACCTGGGGCTGTGCTTGGTATCAGGTTGATGTAAGATCTGCCACAGGCTTCCCTCTTATCCTCCATGACATAGAATGAAACACCTGAATCCTGCCCATCCTGTCCCTGGGCACCATCAGCTCTACTACATCTTCAGATTCAGTTCCAAAGAAGAATCCCAAAGGTGCTTTTTCATGAGAGAACTGAATTTCCTTATTTTTCTTTGAAGATGTTTTGCTTCTCATCAAAGAAGCTTCTTCAGCCCTGACTGGGTGGTGGAGAATGGAAAGATTTATATTCCTTGCCCACAGCTAATCATTTGCATTCTTTTAGAGAGCTGTTGAGGCCACCTGGAGGTTTATCCGTGTCCTCAAAGTCACCTGAATAGTGCAAATGGGTGTGAAACCTTCTTGGAACTGCTGAAAGGACTGTGTTGTAGATTGGAGATAGATGATGTCGTATCCCTTTTTATAAAACCTAGCTGAAGGCCTAGGACTGGGGCGACGGCGCGCATGCCCGCAGAGAGGGCTATTCAATTTTGACATAGATGACCTCTTTAGAACATTTAGAACAGATAAACCTCCAGGATGGCCTCAATGACTCTCTTAAAAAATGCAAATAACCAGCTGTCTGCAAGGAGTATAAATCCTTCCACTCCCCACCATCCAGTGTCATGGTTCCGAAAGAAGAAGCTCTTCAAAGAACTTTGAGGCATTGTTTACATTAAAGAATCTTTTTAATTGCTACATAGCTTCGGCACGTACATAGTGAAGCCAAAATCTGAATTCTCTTCCCCCAGCACACCATAACAAAGCATAACTCACTCCTTCATTTAACATTCATTAATCACATTCTCCAATTAGTCTGAAGTGTGAACTTTCTCTCCTGTTATCTCCTCTTGTTACAACTAACCCTGAAAAATACCCTACTGAAATATTGTTATGGCTAACTAGTCCCCAAGTACATCCTTCCCCCCTCCCTTCCATCAACTATCTAATTTTAACTCTAAAAGTAATACACAGGTTAAATAGAAAATGTCTGCATCTTCATATTTTGTCAAGCAAGAACATCCGATGTTAGCAGCATTGACATCCAGTCAGAGCAAGAAGCTTCTTGGATGAGAAGTGAAACATCTTCAAAGAAAAACAAGAAAGTTCAGTTGGCTCGTGAAAAAGCACCTTTGGGATAACTATGACCTGGAGGACTGAGAATCTCCATAGACATTCCAAAGAAGGAAGCAGAAGGTAATTTTGAAAGCTGCCTCTATTCAATAATGGGCTTGATGATGAAGAACCGACTGGTTTAATTTCAAACTGAGAAAAGAGAAGTGCTGATGGACTTGGACTTGAGAACTGAGCTACAGCTTCCTCTCCATGAGGGAGCTCTGCCTTGAAAAAAAACTGGTTCTCAATCTGGGTGCATTCATTCATCCTTACTTGTCTCAGCATTTGCTGACAGAACTTACAAAAGAAAGCCTTGGAGAAAATGAGAGGGAGAACAGCTTAGGTCCATGGTGGTGAACCTATGGCACGGGTGCCACAGGTGGCACACAGAGCCCTCTCTGCGGGCACGCGCGCCGTCGCCCCAGTCCTAGGTCTTCAGCTAGGTTTTATAAAACCTTTTCACTTTAGTCCTCTGCCACCGTGTGGGGGAAAAAAAGGTTCAATCAATCAATTTCAACTTCTCGCGGGAAAAAAAGATCTCGCAAATTGGAATTGATTGAACTTTTAGTCCCTCCCAGTCTGCCGTTACCACCGCAACCACACCCAGCCAACTGGCCACACCCACACAATGGGCTGCGCCCACCTGACACCTGACGATACATAAGTGGGTTTTGGGTTTCAGCTTGGGCACTCGGTCTCTAAAAGATTCACCATCACTGACTTAGGTTGAAGGTCCCATCTTTTGAGAACTTGGCCCACCCTAGTTCTCTATATGTTGAACAGCCCAACTCTCTATAAGTGACACTCTCTGTGGGGCTACAGGTGATCCTCGACTTAACAACAGTTTGCTTAGTTACCATTCAAAATTATAATGACATTGGGGGAAAAAGTAACCTAGGACCGTTTTTTCACACTTATGACCACTGTACTGTCCCTGAGACCATGTGATCCAAATTCAGATACAGTACTTGGGAACTGGTTCATATCGATGACGGTTGCATGTGATCCTATTTTTGCAACCTTCTGATAAGCAAAGCCAATGGGGAAGGCACGTTCAGCTGTGTCACTGACTGAACAATTGCCATGATTCATTTAACAACTGCAATAAGAGAGGTAGTAAGGGGTAAACTTCACTTAGCAAATGTCTCGCTTTAACAACAGAAATGTTCAGCTCAATTGTAGCCGTGAGTCAAGGACTACCTTTATTAGGGCTTCCTCACGCCATCATTATAGACAGAAAAATACAAAGAGGAAGAGGAAGGCTATCTATAAAGTGGGACAGACAGGAATGGAAACTGGCTGGGATGGGAAACCCCCTGGAGGACCCCTCTCCTGTATCTGGAGATAGGACAAATGTTTTAGCCCTTCTTTAGCAGACCAAGTAGGAGCAGAAATGTAGATGAGGACACTCTCCTCCAACATAGGAAAACAAGAGGCCAGCATTTCCCCTGAGAAAGAAATCTATGTCTGAATAGAATAACAGAGTTGGAAGGGATCTCGGAGGTCTTCTAGTCCAACCTCCTGCATAGGCAGGAAACCCTACACCAGCGGTTCTCAACCTATGGGTCGCGACCCCATTTGGGGTCGAACGACCATTTTACGGGGGTCGCCAAACAACGCGATCCGCCATTTTTCCCCCTCAGGGGGCGCCGCCGCGCATGGGGGCACCGCCGCGCACGCGCGCCGCATCCGTGTGACCGGGGGTCGCCGTATAAAAAGGTTGAGAACCGCTGCCCTACACCATTTCAGACAACTGGAGCTCCAATCTCTTCTTAAGAACTTCACCTCTTCTGGAGGCAAGTTGTTCCACTGATTAATTATTCTAACAGTCAGGAAGTTTCTCCTTAGTTCTAGGTTGCTTCTCTCCTTGATCAGTTTCCACCCGTTGCTTCTTGTCCTGCCTTCAAGCGCTTTGGAGAATAGCTCGACTCCCTCTTCTTTGTGACAGCCCGAGATATTGGAAGACTGCTATCATGTCACCCCCTAGTCTTACGCTAGATTACCCAATTCCAGCAACGGTTCTTTATATGTTTTAGCCCAGACATGTCAAACTCACGACGTCACGTGATGTCGCGCAACATATTGGAGCTTTTTCAACATTGCTGGCAATGGGGTGGGCGATGAAACCGGTACGATGAAACTGGCCCGTGGGCCGGCAGTTTGACACCCCTGTTTTAGCCTCTGGTCCCCTAATCATCTTTGTTGCTCTTCTCTGCACTCTTTCTAGACAGTCTCTACATCTGACTAGAAAATACTTTCTACCACAATTTCAGCCTCGAGAAATAGAGTTCCTTACTTAAGGAGGCCACGTTCCTTGCATTTTCCAGCATGACCTCTTCGTACAAAGTCTTTTGTTCACAATCCAGCAGGGACCACTCCTCCACAGAGAAAAACACAGCTACATCCTCAAAGGAAACAGCGTTCTGAAACAGAAACCACACGTTCTACAAATGTCCCTGTTAAGATACAGTTGAAAAATGTATATGCAAACTTTTTTTTTAATTAAACAACAAACCTGACTTCCAACTAGAATTAAAAAAAAAAAAAAAAAGCAACTGCCCTGGGAAAAAATGGGACAGAATCCTGAACCTCAGATGAAAATGCAGCCAGGATAACTTTTCATGAGTTCGGCTAATTTTAAACCCTAATTTTTATTGTACACCCTTCTATAATATCCAAGGACTCGAGTGAAACATGAATAAATCACCTTGTTATAGTGGAAGTTAAGAATAAAATTAAATATTCTTTGCATGAGTTCTTGAGCGTAATAATGGATCTTGTTACATTTTTAAAAAATCAAAGCGTAATTCAAGGTAAAACGGGTACTCTTCAACTTACAAGCATTTGTTTAGTGACCAAAGTTGCAACAGCACTGGAAAAAAACGGACTTATGACCATTTTTCACACTTACAACCATTGCAGCATCCTCATTGAAGGACAACTAGAATGAGTAGATATGAACTACATAGCATAAATATAAGCTTAAGGGGAAGCTTTTGCATCTTCTTAAGCGGAACGTCTTAAAATAGTGGTGGCGAACCTATGGCACGCATGCCAGAGGTGGCACTCGGAGCCTCTCTGTGGGCACACGTGCCGCCACTGCCAGCAGCTTGCGCAGGTCCATTAGGCTGCTGCTGCCATCCGGGGCAGCAGCTGCACCCAGCACAAAGGAAGCGAAGCAGCCAGCTAGCAAGCTCAAGTAGTGGTGGTAGAGCACGGCCACACCCAGCAAGCCAAGGGCCACCCCAAGCAGGGAAAGCCGGATCCCCATCGGCACCATGGCTCCCCAGTCCCAGCTAGGATTGCATGCCTCCCCCCCCCATCTATGCTGGGCCTCCTGCCACCGCCCATCCGCCAGAGACACCCTGGATCTCCCCCAACCCTGCCCAGCCCCGACAGGCATTCCCCCCATGAGCAGCATTGAGGTGGCATGCCCACCCCAGCCACAGCCACCCAGTCTGCTGTGACAATCGCAGTCATGCCCACCGAGTGGGCCACACCCCCATGCCCGCCCTGAGGGCACCACAATGCTAAGTGGGGTTTGGGTTGTGGTTTGGGCACTCAGCCTCTAAAAGGTTCGCCATCATTGTCTTAAAACTACAGTCAATTTAAGAATTTTAATAGAGTAAACCAGACAATAAACTACAGTAGCCTCACTCAACTTATCATCCTAATTTCTTTCTAGTTGTAACCTCCACATCGGTGTGCAATGTATTTAGATAATTTTTAACCTGCGACTCTTTTAAGACTGCCAATCAATATCACAGGCTCATGTATTGCAAAGTTTCAAACCATAATGACATTACGAGGTACATTCCCTTCAGCATCCAAGGGAGAAGAGAGTGGCTTTGTATTATAAGATGTGGGACTTTCTATCAAAGTATCAGGAAGCTGCTTATGAAAACGCTCCACCCCCCACCCCCCACCCCCCGATTTTGGACAGGGCTGGATCATGTTGAATGACACTAACAGTTTGAGGAGGGAAAGATGTTCTTACCTTTCTTGCAAAAACAAGTGCTCCACCACAGATAACAGATGTGCCAGAAGCTACCATCGACGTTGGTCTGGTTTCTGAGAGTGAGGGGAAAAAAAACTCAGGAATTACTTGTTATATGAACCCTCTTCCCTTATTCTGGAGCTTCAATTTTTAGAAAGTCCATTCTTTATGCAGGCTGACTGGATGACTGAGAGGTATGAGTGCCTTGTGGGTAGAGAACAGCCCGTCTGGGTTAATTAACTCAAACTATGAGGTTGTGTGAATGGTGGGAGGCAACAGAAGCCTACGGATAGGGCAGTGGTGGCGAACCTATGGCACGGTTGCCAGAGGCGGCACTCAGAGCCCTCTCTGTGGGCATGCGTGCCGTCGCCCCAGTCCTAGGCCTTCAACTGGATTTTATAAAACCTTTTTCACTTTAGGCCTCCGCCGCCGAGTACAAAAAAAAAAGGTTCAATCAATCAGTCAATTTCAACTTCTCGCGGGAAAAAAAAAGATCTTGCAAAGTTGGAATCGATTGATTGAACTTTTTAGTCCCACCCAGTCTGCTGTTACCACTGCAGCCATGCCCACCCAATGGGCCACACCCACCCGGCACCCAACGATGCATAAGTGGGTTTTGGGTTGCAGCTTGGGCACTCGGTCTCTAAAAAGTTCGCCATCACTGGGACAGGGATTGTACCGAGTGGTAATTCTATTGATCATGGGAGACCAACAAAAATCCAGTGGAGGTATGAGAGATGGTGGTTACTCAATTCCAACTCCACACCTCCCAGGTGCTTGGAAATGACCGAAGCTCTGCGCATGCTGGAGGCGGCCAGGGAGGAAGGGGGGAGCTGGCTGCATCTGAAGTGAGAAAGGAGGAGGTGCCCCTCTCTTGAAGCCAGAATAACATGTTGTCTTGAAAGAAAGCCACCCAGACTTAGATGATTATTTCCCAGCTCCTATCTGTCCTGTATTAACAAAGATCATAGAGAGAGTGGCCGTATCTCAACAACAAAGCGTAACAAAGAGTCATCTGGAGCCGTTTTAATTGGGATTCAGATGAGACTATTGGAGAGGACCTGCATTTCTCTCCACCAGAACTGGGAGTAGTGCTGTACTTTTAGATCTCTCCCCCAACCCGATTTAGGAATGGAGATCACAGAATCTGCTGAAGCCAAGTATTGCAGAGGGGACAAAATACAAGGTTCTCCCTGTTAATAGGGAGCAAAGCAAAAGTCCTTATATTGATTCCTAAACAAAAGCAATACTCCTTAGCAGCAACGTCCCCTCGCTCTATATTGATTCCTAAACAAAAGCAATACCCCTTAGCAGCCACGTCCCCTCCCCAGGAACCCAGTCTCCCTTTTATTGGTCTTGATTTCGGTTATTCAGCATGCCTAAAGCAAATTTAAGAGATCAACTTCCCAGTTCTAGGAACCGGACCTTAAGCTGCTACTTCAGCATTTGGCGAGCTCTGTGACTTACCGTATTTTCTGGCGTATAAGACGACTTTCTAAAGCACGGAAATCGGCACCGAAGTCAGGGGTCGTCTTATACGCTGAGTCGTCTTATACACCGGAAATTACGGTAGTTTCCAGCGTATAAGACGACTTTCTAGGCATGGAAATCAGCACCAAAGTCAGGGGTCGTCTTATACGCCGGGTCACCTTATACGCCAGAAATTACGATATTTGTGAGTATGTGATGCTTGGCTTCAGATTTCTGCATTTTAAGATGGCTGGAGGCATTTTCTTAGGCAATTTGTACCCTTGTTGTCTCCTCATTATTGTACAATAATGGTATAAGGCAGTGGTGGAGAACCTATGGCACGCGTGCCAGAGGTGGCACTCAGAGCCCTCTCTATTGGCACGTGTGCTGCCAGCAGCAGGTCCATCAGGCCGCCACCGTCCGGAGCAGGAGCCCCACCCAGCACAAAGGAGGCGAAGCAGCCGCCTAGCAAACTCGAGCAGAGGTGGTAGAGCAGAGGTCACCAACCATTGTCGATTGGTGGACTGGAAGAAAAGGGAGGGGGAAGCATTTTACACGTGTGCGTGCGCACATGGGGCCACGAGCATGCACGCACTGCAAATAGGGCGGGGCTAGTGCCTGTGTGATACTAGCCCTGCCCTGTTTTTGCGTGGTGCAGCGCCTTGTATCTGCATCCCGTGGTGCGGTGGCAGCTATTTTTGCGCCTTGTAGCATGGAGGTCCATTTTTGTGCCCCCGGGTTTTGCATGCCAGAGATGGCAGTCAGAGGCGCCTCCCTGCCCCCCCCCCCCAAGGGTACCACAATGCTGATGCAGCCCTGGCACTTTGCGATAAATAAGTGGGTTTTGGGTTGTGGTTTGGGCACTCAGTTTCTAAAAGGTTCACCATCACTGGTATAAGGTTTCCTGCTTGAGCAGGGGGTTGGACTAAAAGATCTCAAAGGTCCCCTTCAACTCTTTTCTGTTAGTAACGTGAACAACCTTCTCCAGTGGTTCCAGATAGGGGTCAAGATGCATCCTCAAGCAGCAGATTTATGCAATAAAGCACCCCAGAGCTTGAAGATACCTTCAAGAATATCCCTCCCTGTATCGTTTGGAAGTTTGCTGAGAGTCCCCCTTCCCATCAACAACAAATACTTATTTTTTTTTCTCAGTTGGAACAGCCTAGCGCAGCTGTTTTCAACCTTTTCTATAGGTTGACCTGGATTCAAAGTTATGCTGGTGGACGATACCCCCTACTTGGCAAATGGGCCACATGTACAGGTGCAACATCCTGGGGTCATGTGACCACATTTTTGCAGTTACTTCCAGTTTGGGGCAAAACACTAATTTTTTTTTTTTTTGAAAGATTTTATTGAGTTTTATAGGGTTGGGGATAGAATAGGATCGGGATAAGGATTAAGGTTTAGGGTGAGGTTGGGATCAGGATTGGGGTTGGGATCAACATTGGGGTTATCCCCCAATAACATTTTCAATCTTTAGCAAACAGACTATTGTCTGCGTACATATGTTCGGTTAACAATAGTTGATATAGTAATAAGTAACTGTAATGTGTAATAAACGATAATCATAAATGGTATCAGTTAGTTAATGCATATCGTTCTTCTTACTAATATATATTCAAAATAACATATATTCATTTCCCACTAGTTTGTTTTCCTAACCATTGGTAAAAACTATCCCACGTTCTAAAGTAAACTGAATCTTCTTTCTCTTTAATCTCTAAAGCAGGGGTGTCAAACTCAATTTCACTGAGGGCCGCATCAGCATTGCAGTTGCCCTTGGGGGGCCGGGTGGGTGTGGCCAGAGTGGGTGTGGCCTACTGGGTGGGTGTGGACGGAGTGGGTGTGGCCTACTGGGTGGACGTGGCCAGTTCTACATCATTCGCGTCAAGGGTGCCTGTGGGGGCCTGGGCAGGAGTGGGACAGATCTGAGGGTCTCTGGCAGAAGGGGGTGGGACCGGGGCAAGTGCCAAGGCATGGTCCACTGGAGGAGCCTCATTGCCTGCTGAAACCCCTCCCCCGGAGCCCATCAAGCCGGATAGGTGAGGACCATTTGCTGGCCACTTCCAGGCGATGGTGCATTTCTTCATTTCTCACAAAGGGTGACACCTCCCCAGCATGCACCCAGGAGGCAGGGCCGACGCAGCAGGGGCCAGTTCCTTGCTGTTTCCAGACGGTCTTGTGGAGCTAAGACTGAATGCGTTTTAGCATAGATGGCCACCACAAAATTGTACATTGGCTCCCTCCCGGCCGGCCTGGGCCAGGGCCAAGGCAACGGGGGCTGTTCCCTCACTGTTTCCAGGATGGCTTCATGGGCCATATGAAACCAGTTCACGGGCCGCATTTGGCCCCCGGGCCTTGTATTTGACATGTCTGCTCTAAATCTATCCATTTCTGCACATTCTAAAATTTTCTTAATTAAAACCTCTTCAGTTGGTAAGTTTTCATTTTTTCCAATACTGGGCAAATACTATTCTCGCTGCTGTCAGTATATGCAATATTAAATATTTGTTCTCCTTCTCATAGTTAGGTTCTAATATTCCTAACAAAAATAGTTCTGGTTTAAATTCTATCTTTCTTTTAATCATTTTTTCCATGTATCTATCTCACCCCAAAACCTTTTTGCTTTAAGGCATGTCCACCAGATATGGTAGTAAGTACCTGGCCTTTGTTTACATTTCCAGCAATTATTCGAAGTATTTTTAAACATTTTCGCTAACCTTACTGGTGTCATAGGGGCGTAACAATAATGACCATTGCAAATGAAAACCATAGAATCGAGTTGGTCACGTGATCGGGCCATCACGACTTACGAGGGTGATGAGCAGGCTCCACGATGGTCGTAAATCAAATCGCCTACATAGTCTGAATTCTCACACTCTCGCTAACCTTCTTTCCTTATACAGGTAAGTCCTCAACTTACAGTCACAACCGAGCCCCAAATCTCCAGCTGGACTTCAACTCCCGGAATTCTGCAGCCAGCATTAGCTTTAATGGATACTACAGCAGCAGACTAGAAAGGGAGAGGAGGACATCAGGTGATCGCTCCTCGGTTCTCCACCACGAAGGAATGAATTGGATGGGGAAGATATCCCCCACCCATTGGTCCTCTGTCTTCCCTCAACCCAAATCGTTTGCCTCCATCAAACAGGTTGTTTGTGGTTCACTCAACATCCTGTATCAGCCTAGTGCAGTGGTGGTGAACCTATGGCATTTAAGATTGGTCAATAACCTGGAGGTCACCTTACCATAATCAAGTACTGATGCTAAAACACCTGGATGGTACTCTCATCGTCTCACCTTCACTCTCCAAAGGGCATGGACTGGAACCCCCAACCCAAGTGGCAACCTTACAGCCAAATACTTATGGGACTATTATAGAATAAGAAAAATGAAAGTAGATTTTTTCCCAACATTTCTGTACTCCCAAGAAGAAGCCTCTAGGGCAGTGATTCTCAACCTTTTGAATGCCGCGACCCCCAACCGGTCGTAAGTCAAGGACTACTCAACCGGTCGTAAGTCGAGGACTACTCAACTGGTGCAGCACCGTTTGCAGAATGGGACTTTTGGTGGGCTCAGCAGGGCAGAGACAGCCTGGACAATTCCTATTGGCTTTTGAAAGCCAATAGAATTAGACTCTATTCAAGAGAGTCTATTCTACTGGTTTTCAAAAGCCAACAGAATAAAAGGGAGTAGCACAGCTAAGGAAAAGGGGGAAAAAAATGGCTGACTGCGTTGTTTGGCGACCCCCGTGAAATGGTCGTTCGACCCCAAATGGGGTCCCGACTCACAGGTTGAGAACCACTGCTCTAGGGGCACCACTGTCATTGATCTTGATGGAAACTTACCAGCACCAGGAGAAAAAACAGCTGCCCCAAATGACCCATTTGAGGACAGCTCAACAGCCCACAACTGGCTCCCCCACAGATACCACTCAAGATACTTCACCCCCAAACCCCAAATCATAACAGACAAGGCCACTCCCGCGGGGTCCCTCTTCTTCCAACCAAATAATAAATATAATCAATTGTGGCTTAATTGTAATGATGACACCATGCTCCATTGGGGTCTTGGATTCAGCATGTATGTTCCAGAAAGCCTCAGTGCTTCCCAACCAGTAAAGTACTCATGGTTAATAAAGATAACATACTATGTTCAGCCGGGCAGCAGGGACAAGACTCCGCCCTCATGCCCCATAGCGTGCAGATGATGCTGCGGGGCGTAGGTGGAGGGTGTGGCTGCCATGGCGCTGCAGGGCTGCCTGGGCAATATGCTGCAGTGGGCCAGAGGCGGTACGTGGCCCTGTGGGTGGGCGGGGCAGGGGATGGGTGGGGGCGGAGCAGGCAGGGTGGGAGGCGGGGTAGGGGGCTGTTTTGGGGCACTCGGTCTCTAAAAGCAGTGTTTCTCAACCTTGACCATTTTAAAGCATGTGGACTTCAACTCCCAGAATTCCACAGCCAGCATTGCTGGCTGTGGAATTCTGGGAGTTGAAGTCCACATGCCTTAAAATGGTCAAGGTTGAGAAACACTGCTCTAAAAAGTTTGCCATCACTGGCCTAGTGGCAAAATCAGAAAGGCGCGGAAGAGGAAGAGACAGAGGTAGGGTCTTCAAGAGGTGGGGCCATATCCTAACCAAATAGACGTTTTACAGAATAAAATGTTATTCCAGCTGAGTAGAATTGATTCTTCTGATTCTTCTTCAACACGGACCCCCTTTAAATACCTTTTGGTGCTCAAAGATCATAGCCAGGGACCCCCAAGACTTAACTCCAGATTTAATAATAATAATAGTAAAGTTGGAAGGGACCTTGGAGGTCATCTAGTCCAACCCCCTGCTCAGGCAGGAAATCCTACACCATTTCGGACAAATGGCTGTCCAGTCTCTTCTTGAAAACTTCCAGGGTTGGAGCATTTACTGCTTCTGGAGGCAAGCTGTTCCACTGATTAATTGTTCTCACTGTCAGGAAGTTTCTCCGTAGTTCTAGGTTGCTTCTCTCCTTGATTAGTTTCCACCCGTTGCTTCTTGTCCTGCTTCAGGTGCTTTGGAAAATAGCTTGATTCCCTCTTCTTTATGGCAGCCCCTGAGATATTGGAATACTGCTATCATGTCCCCCTTGTCCTTCTCTTCGTTAAACTAGACATACCCAATTCTAGCAACCGTTCCTTATATGTTTTAGCCTCCAGTCCCCTAATCATCTTTGTTTGCTCTTCTCTGTACTCTTTCTAGAGTCTCAACATCTTTTTTACATCGTGGTGACCAAAACTGGATGCAGTATTCCAAGTGTGGCCTTACCAAGGCATTGTAGAGTGGCATTAATATCAATTTAAATCATAACATTTCTTCAAGCCTTCGTGGGACCCCCTGTGACAACATCGCCAACCCCCCAAGGATCCGAGAACCACAGGCTGGGAACCACCACCCCAGCAGAAGGACCAATTGCTTTTTAACTGCATGCTGCTGCCACAAGACTTTCTTGAGTAATGTTATCATCAGAACACATTTTAAAAAATGAAAAGGAATTCACCAACGAAAGGAAATTGAGCAAAGCCAAGTCAGAGGCTTAAAGGGCATCCTAAGCAGCCTTTTTTACCTGATGGTCTCTTCTGAGATGGATCTTCCTGAGGGATTCCCCCAAACAGCCTCTCTAAGGAGGGATCACCCTGCTTTCCTCCAAGCCGTTCAGCAGCCATTTAACTCAAAAGGCTTCCGGATCCGAAACAGCACCAGAAAATAATAGCACCGGTATTCCTGCAAATTCTGCAGGACAGAAATGGAATAAATGATTATTGTTCTTATTAATGCGTCTGCTTCCGTATTTCCATTGAGGACCTGTATACTACACGAGCCAGAAAGAAGGCTGTGAAAATATCTACAGGGCCCTCACATTCCTGGACATAAGCTGTTTCAACTTCTTCCCTCAAGATGACGCGATAGGGATTGCACACCAAAACAAGAAGACACAAGGACAGTTTCCCCCCCCCCCAAGCCATCACTCTACTGAACAACTATTTCTCACAACACTCTCTTAGACCCTGGGATGTCAAGCCACATAGAAGGCCTGTATTACTATTGTCCTTCTCATCTTTCCTATTACCATTCCTTTAGCATCTTATCACCCTGTGGTTTGTGTCTTGTGATTTATGTTGATTGCTTTTATTTAGTATCCCATTATGGTTTATGTTGATTGCTTTTATTTAGTATGCTATGCTATAACTGCGTGTTATATCTTATGATTTGTATTTTCTGATTATGATCATGATTTATCACATTGTTTGTATGTAACTGAGAGCTATTATACACTGGAGACAAATTCCTTGTGTGTCCGATCACACTTGGCCAATAAAGAATCCTTTCCCACTCTACCCTACCCTACCCTATCCCAATCCTATCCCTATCCCAATCGTATCCTTATTCTATCCTATTCCAGTCATATCCCTATCCCAATCCCATCCCTATTCTATACTATCCCAATCCCTATCCTTATCCTATCCCAATTCTATCCTTATTCTATCCTATTCCAATCATATCCCTATCCCAATCCCATCCCTATTCTATACTATCCCAATCCCTATCCTTATCCTATCCCAATCCTATTCTATCCTATTCCAATCATACCCCTATCCCAATCCCATCCCTATTCTATACTATCCCAATCCCTATCCCTATCCTTATCTTATCCCAATCCTATCCTTATTCTATCCTATTCCAATCATATCCCTATCCCAATCCCATCCCTATTCTATACTATCCCAATCCCTATCCTATCCCAATTCTATCCTTATTCCAATCATATCCCTATCCTAATCCCATCCCTATTCTATACTATCCCAATCCCTATCATCCTATCCCAATCCTATCCTTATTCTATCCTATTCCAATCATATCCCTATCCCAATCCCATCCCTATTCTATACTATCCCAATCCCTATCCTTATCCTATCCCAATCCTATCCTTACTCTATCCTATTCCAATCATATCCCTATCCCAATCCCATCCCTATTCTATACTATCCCAATCCCTATCATCCTATCCCAATTCTATTCTTATTCTATCCTATTCCAATCATATCCTTATCCCAATCCCATCCCTATTCTATACTATCCCAATCCTTATCCTATCCCAATCCTATCATTCTATCCTATTCCAATCATATCCCTATCCCAATCCCATCCCTATTCTATACTATCCCAATCCCTATCCTTATCCTATCCCAATTCTATCCTATTCCAATCATACCCCTATCCCAATCCCATCCCTATTCTATACTATCCCAATCCCTATCCTTATCCTATCCCTATCGTAATCCCATCCTGTCCTATCCTATCCCGCACAAAACAGTCCTACCCCCGCGCGCGCACACAAACACCCTACCTTGTATTCCGAGGGTTTTCCCCAAAGACGCTTCTTCAGAAGCCCGTGGTCGTTTGGAAGAAGCGTCTCATCAAGGGCAAAGATTAAATCATTTCGGGTCGGTCAGAGATTATTTGGGGTGGGGTGCGGGGGTGGCAAGCAGCGGGGCTCTCCGGAGCTGGGCTACCCCTCGGACCGACCCTTGAGGACAAGCCCCGGATCGTGTTCCCCGGGTCCCGCAGGCAAGAGGCGGCTCTGCCCTCAGCCCCGACGCCAATTCCCGAGAGAGGCGCGCAGCGGAGGATACGGGCTCCGCCTTCCTCACCGCCCCACCGCCGCCTGCCCAGCCCAGCCCAAACGCGCGCATGCGCCTTCCTCCCCGGAAGGGTTTTTCCGCCAGGAAGGTTTTGGAAGGAGAGAGAGCTTTGCAGGCAACCGAGCGGCTCTCCCTAGAGGGGCACTTCCGCTCTACTCCGTCGGGGTTTCTTTGAGATGCTGGGCGCTCCTTCCGGCTGATCTGGGGACGCAGGAGGGGCTTGCAAGAGGGCGCCTCCTGCTTCTAATCCTGGGAAGCAGCCAAAGGGGAGCGGGCGTCCGAGGTGATCGTTCGGGGAGGAATTGGGCTTTAGGAGCTGGAGGGGAAGGGTGACGATGGACTTTGATCTTTCCATACCATACCAGAACTTTGCCTCTCTAGGACGCTGCACTCTCTCTCTCTCTCCATCACCCTCTGCGCTTTGCTGCAGGTAAAAGGAAGAAAAAGGCGGGGGGAATGTCTTGCAGGGGAGACAGCCAGATGTGGCCCTAAGGGAGGAGAGGGGGGGTCTCTCTTCCCATGCAAAGGGAGGCGGAGGGTCCTCATCCTGGAGGAGGGAGGGACACATGCCAAGTCCTCATCCAAGTTCAGTCTTCTGAGTCCCAAGAGTAAGAGAGACCAAATCCCATGTTCCCCTGCTGCCTCCCCTTTCCATGCACACAACAGACGGGTGGGGGGGGGAAGCAGAGGACCAGACCAACCTTCTTGCCCCCTCCTCGACGGAACTCAGGATTCCCAGGAAAGAGGTGGGGACTGGGGAAGTCCTTGGGGGGGGGGGAGTTGGCTCCTACCGTTGACTGACCCTTTTGGGCTTCAGGGCATGTTGTGTGGACATGCCTGCCTGTAAGAGTCTGACTTGGCGCTCGAAAAGTCAGTCTTGAACAAGGTTAATAAAGCATCCTAAGCAAGGGTCATGTTCCTGCATTTCTTTTAAGGTGAACAGAGATTTTCTGATTGGCTAATTTGTTTGGAGTGTTGACATGTTGTGTGAACCCGCTTGGAGCTGAATGTAGGTTTAGTTTTTAAAAAACAAGAGCTTCCTTGTGAAAAAGAAACAAAAAATAGAAAATGCTTCAAATAAATTAATTCAGCAAGAATAGAATAGAATAGAATAGAACAGAACAGAACGGAATGACAGAGTTGGAAGAGACTTTGGAGGTCTTCTAGCCCAACCCCTTGCTCAAGCAGAGGGCTGAACCTCTAACTATCCCCACAGCTTCAGCAAGAGAAACAGTCCTTTGAATGAAACGTTTCTTGGAGATTCACATAAGAGTCCTTGGACCCATTTGGAGTTGCGTTACAGGACAGAGAAAGAATGGAGACCCAACCTTTAGCAAGTGAGGGAACTGGAAAAGGACTTTCAACTGTTCAGCCTGGGCACTGTAAGGAGATCTGGGCAAGAAGTGGGCAGAAGATCCTGGAAGAAGACACCATCATCCCTTCCGAAGTTCAGTCCTGCAACTTCAGGAGCGTCCAATATCAGGCTTCTGAGGATCCCCGAGGACTTTGCAGCCAACTCCATGACTTTTGTAATCGATGGTTCAAAGCAGAAAAGCACACCAAAGCCCAGATGCTGGACCTGGTTGTTCTGGAGCAGTTTCTGGCCCTTCTACCCCCAGAGATGGAGAACTTGGTGCGGGAGTGTGGAGCAGAGACCAGCTCCCAGGCGGTGGCCCTGGTGGAAGGCCTTCTCCTGAGCCAGGCAGGGGAGCAGGAGCAGGTGAGAGACCTTCACCTTGACTGGAATAAAGAATGTGGTTGAAGTCTTGACCTCTCCCTTCCAGAGTACCAAAGGTGCTTTTTTCATGAGGCAACTGGACTTTCTTGTTTTTCTTTGAAGACGTTTCGCTTCTCATCCAAGACGCTTCTTCATTTCTAATGGGATGGTGGGGAATGGAAGGATTTATACTCCTTGCAGACAGCTGGTCATTTGCATTTTTTAGAGAATCGTTCAGGCCACTTGGAAGTTATCCGTGTTCTCAGGATCATCTAAGTGGTGCATATGGTTGTGGAGCCTTCTTGGAACTACTGAAAGGACTGTGTTGTAGACTGGAGATAAATGATGTTGAATAACCCTCTCTCAATAGAGGGGGGGGATACGACATCATCTATCTCCATTCTACAACACAGTCCTTTAAGCAGTTCCAAGAAGGGTCTACACCCATTTGTACTACTCAGCTGGCCCTGAGACACAGATAAGTTTCCAAGTGGCCTCAACATCTCTAAAACAATGAAAATGACCAGCTGCCTGCAAGGAATATAAATCCCTCCACTCTGCACCATCCACTCACAGCTGGAAACATTTCTTGGATGAGAAGCGAAATGTCTTCAAAGAGAAAAAAAAGAAAATCCAGTTGCCTCCTGAAAAAGCATCTTTGGGACAACCATGATGTGGATAACTGAGAATCTCCATAGACATCTCCCTACCAGGTTTCTGGAATTCATAATATGTGGAGATGTTTCACTAATTCTTGTGGGATATTGTTTCATTACCTGTTATAAAAAAAATGATGACAGACATTCCTTTCTTATTTTCCAGCCTCACTGATGAACATTGGAAGCTTTCAAGAATCCACTTTGTATGTCCACTAATTCTTCTTTTCTCCTGTCTCCTATTTCAAGTCCTTCACAAAGGACATCCGAGTTTCTGAGGGAAGCAGGAATCCATCAAATTCTCCTCAGGAGTTTTTGAGGAGCGTTTCTCTGGAAGATCCAAGTCTGGATACCTTGGGAGGTAATCAGAGGTCCTCACTTCTCCAGAAAGTCCCAAACTCTCTCCTTTTCTGTAAAATCTCTCTTCCTGTGTTAATTATGCTTTTTAAATTTCTGTTTTTCCTCACAGGGAAGACTACAGTGGAGTTGTCTGCTCTTTATAGTGCAGCTGAAACAGTAGTTGGACCTACAACTCAAGTAAGAAGAGCAAATTCACTAATGAAATATGGATGTCTCAGGAATTCTGGGAGTTGAAGTCCATGAGTCATGAAAGAGCCAAGGTTGCCTACCCCTGATCTAGGCCAATCCCCTGTCTAAACAGGAGACCCTATACAATTTCTGACAGATGGTAGTCTAGTCTCTTCTTGAAAGTCTCCAGTGATGAAGCTCCCAGAACTTCTGAAGGCAATACGTTCCATTGGTTGATGTTCTCACCCTCAGAAAAATTCTCCTTATTTCTAGGTTGAATCTCTCCTTGATCAGTTTCCATCTGTTATTCCTTGCCTGGCCTTCAGGTACTTTGGAGAATAGGTTGACCCCCCTCCTCTCTGTGGCATCCCCTCAAATATTGGAACACTGCTATCATGTCACCCCGGTCCTTCTCTTCACTAGATTAGCCATGCCCAGTTCCTGTAACCGTTCTTCATATGTTTGAGTTATAGTTAGACAGACATACAGATAGATGATATATATATATATATAGATGAAAGATAATAGCTAGATAGAGAGATAGAGATAGATAAATAGAGTGAGAAAGAGAGTTGGATGGATGGATAGATAGATAGATAGATAGATAGATAGATAGATAGATAGATAGATAGATAGATAGATAATGAGAGAGTGATGATAGAGAGACAGATGGACAGACAGACAGACCAACATAGATAGATGATAGAGATAAGAGATGATAGGTAGGTAGGTAGGTAGGTAGGTAGATAGATAGATAGATAGATAGATAGATAGATAGATAATATACATTGAGAGATGATAGATGATAGAAAAAGGTAGGTAGGCAGGCAGACAGACAGACAGACATAGATAGATAAGGAAACTAGGATTACTTTCACTGAATGGCACTGTAAGTCTTGCCACATCAATCATCAATTAAAGTTGCCTGAAATATTTCTTCACTCAAAGGCTTTTGATCTATTTTTATCACCTAAACTTTGGAATCCTACGAGGCACAGCCATTCAACTTAGTGCATGTCTTTCCTTTGGGAATTTGTGTGTAATAGGATAGATGTCTGGATGTGGAGGCCAAACTATCCTGCTTTGTAAAATTTTCTTCAAGGAATTTTTCTCTGCTTTCTCATCTTCAGTTCAGCCAATGACTAGATAGATAGATAGATAGATAGATAGATAGATAGATAGATAGATAGATAGATAGATAGATAGATAGATAGATAGATAGATAGATGATAGAGATGATAGATGATAGAGAAAGAGGATGGTAGGTAGAGAGAGAGAGAGAGAGAGAGAGAGAGAGAGAGAGAGAGAGAGAGAGAGAGAGAGAGAGAGAGAGGGTAGATCTGTAAGGAAACTAGGATTACTCTCCTTGAATGGCACTGAAAGTCTTGCTACATCAATCATCGATTAAAGTTGCCCGAACTATTTCTTCACTCAAAGGCTTTTGATCTATTTTTATCACCTCAACCTTGGAATCCTACCAAGCACAATCATTCAACTAGTGCACGTCTTTCCTTTGGGAATTTGTGTGTAATGGGATAGACCTTCCAAATCCTCCTTGACCCTGTTCGGTTCTTTGTTTTCCTTGTTCAGGAGGGTCTGGTGTCCTTCGAGGAGGTGGCTGTGTATTTCTCCAAGGAGGAGTGGTCTCAGCTGGATTCTGACCAAAAAGCGCTCCATTGGGAAGTCATGCTGGAAAATTATAGGAACGTGGCCTCTCTGGGTAAGCAGGTTTGCTACTCGCCCATCAGAGAGTTTAGTAATTAAATACCATCTGCTTTTTCTTATTAGAAGATATCTAATAAGAGATATCACCCTTTGGGAAGAAGCAGGAAGAGATCTAGCCTTTTTCTACTCCGAGGAAATATCTATCCTATCTATCTATCTATCTATCTATCTATCTATCTATCTATCTATCTATCATATTCATCCTATCTATCTATGTATCATATTCATCCTATCTATCTATCCATCTATCCATCTATCTGTCATATTCATCCTATCTATCTACCTATCTTTCTATCATATTCATCCTATCTATCTATATCTATCCATGCATCTATTTATCTTTCATGTTTCTAGGCCATCCATCTCCCTCAGCATTCTTTAAGCCACCCAGAGTCACCCTATTGGGAAGATGGTGTGAGGCATATAAATTTAATAAATTAATAAACTACTAAGCAAACATTTCAGTGCATAAAAATATTGAATATCTATCTATCGATCAAGTGCTCTGCTTAGATGGAGCTTGTGCCAATTTTCAGTTGTCAGAGCAGGAACATCCAATGTTAGCATCGTTGACATACTAAGCGAGAGGGTTGGTAAATGAGTTTTGGCTCATTTTATGACCTTTCTTCCCACAGTTGTTAAGGGAAACACTTGTCAACATCCAGCTCGAGGATCCAAATAAAAATCCCAGTACATTCCGTTTCCGAAAATCTTACTGTTATATTGAATATACGGCATGGTAATGTTGAAGCAAAAGTAACTCTGAGGTTCCCAGACACCAGCTCATAGAATTAAACAATAATCTCTCCAGCTAAAGCCTTGCCCTTCCTCCCTCCCTCCCTCCCTAAGCCACTTAAGAAAGCAGAACTCTTGAAACAGGCATTGTCTCAAAAGGAACTTTTATTAGGGGCTCGTGATAGGAGGGAAAACAAGGCAAGGTCTGAGGAAAAACCTATGGAAGCGATATAATAAAAGCATTATTCAATACTCCTCGCCCCCAGAATCCAGTGTTCATTTGATTCCAGCCAATCCGCAGGTGGAATAGTGTTTTGATCATTGGCTTTGGCACATTCTTTCAAGGTCTTTCTCGCTTTCGTTTCCTCCTGGCTCCAAACGCAACCATCTCTCAGATAAGGATGATGCATTCCATCCCCTGGGGGAAGGGCACCATAGCCGGACAGTGCAAAGTATCCCCAAGACATCCCCCCTCCCAACAGAACGGCAGGCCACAAAGAAAAGTTACAGATTCAGGAATAGGAATAAGGAGACAATAATATTCTCTGGGGACCTGACACCAGTACCAGGCATTGCCCCTTGTTTTGAACATACCCTGATAGACACAGGCAGAGGAATCACAAAAAAAGATAAAAGGAAGAAGATTTGAGAGGGTGGGGCCATAATTTTGATTAATCTTCAAACAAGAAATGCAACAATGGGAAGGCCTGAGTCTGTTTGCACCTCACTTTATGTCAGTTATGACAAACCTTTTAGAGACTGAGAACCCAATAACTGCCCCGCCCCCCACCTGCTGCGCCCCCCACCCACCCGCTGGCAGGGCCACCCACCGCAGATCGCCCAGGTGGCCCAAAAGCACAATGGCAGCCACACCCTCCACCCGCACGCCACAGCATCAACTGCATATGACGGGGTGAGAGGGCAGAGTCTTGTCCCCGCTGCCCAGCTGCCATGTCCTTGGCTGCTCTTCTCTGTGCAGGCTACGCTCGGGGGGTGTCTCTCCTCCAGGGGTGCTGCTGATGAGGGTGCCGCTGGGGGAGGAGGGGCTGGGACAATGACACGTGTGCCCACAGAGAGCTCTGAGTGCCACTTCTGGCACGCATGCCATAGGTTCACCACCACTGCTTTATATCAATTTTTCTTTTTTTTCTTTTTTTCTGCTTCAAGCAGGTGGTGAATGGGAGATGAAGGATTCTGGCCAAGAATCAGCAGCACCATTGCAAAAAGGCAGAATGAAGCACGCAGAGACATTTTTTGGAAAGCAGAGTTCTGAGGAAAAATTATTAAAAGGAGAGCTAGAGAAATGCCCTACTTTACCATATGTAGCTGTCAGTGACTTCTCGGGCAAAGATGATCAACCAGAAAAAGAGGCTTGGGCAGAGTGTGGAAAAGTACCCGCAGACGAATCAGGATTATACAACTGTTGCAGAAGCCACACGATACAGAAACAAAATGAACATGGAAAACGTTTCCGAAGGACCTTCTTGGTTACTTTGCCTCAGAGAATACAAGGAGAGAAACCATATAAATGCCTGGATTGCGGAAAAAGCTTCAGAGACTCAAATTATCTTGCTTCCCATAAAAGGATCCACACAGGAGAAAAACCGTACAAATGCAGGGTATGCGGAAAGGGCTTCAATTTTCCACAAAGCCTCACTTCCCATTTTAAGAGTCACATAGGCGAGAAACCATACGAATGCCCCAAGTGTGGAAAGACCTTCAGTGAAAAATATCAGTATAAAGTTCATTACCAAAAACACACCAGAGAGAAACCATATAAATGTACAGAGTGTGGAAAACGCTTCACTCATTCAAGTTCCTTCACTTACCATAAAAGAATCCACACCGGAGAAAAACCATATAAATGCTTGGAGTGTGGAAAGAGCTTTACAACTTCACGTTATCTTACTGCTCACAAAATGATCCACACCGGGGAGAAACCTTACAAATGCAAGAACTGTGCAAAAAGCTTCAGACTAAAACATGAATATATTGTACATAACAGAATCCACACTGGAGAGAAACCATATAAATGTCCAGAGTGTGGAAAGGGCTTCAGAGCTTCAAATTGTCTTACTGCTCATAAAATGATCCACACTGGGGAGAAACCCTACAAATGCAAGAACTGTGCAAAAAGCTTCAGACATAAAGGTCACTATATTGTACATAATAGAATCCACACTGGGGAGAAACCATATAAATGCTTGGAGTGTGGAAGTTGTTTCACTTCGTCAACTTCCCTCACTTCCCATCAAAGGAGCCACACTGGAGAGAAACCATATAAATGCCCAGATTGTGGAAGATGTTTCACTTTGTCAAGTAATCTCACTTCCCATCAATGGACCCACACTAGGAAAAATCGTACATTTGTCTGGAGTGTGGAAAGGGGTGAACTCAACGTCAGTCCCTTTATGAGCACAGAAAAGAACCGTATAAACAAATTATCAGAAATTTGGGACTTTTGAGCTATTTATTACTGTGGAGAAATGAAATGTTAGGGAATGAACGGAAAATAAGAAGGAACAACGATTCTGAAGAGAGTGGAGAAAAATACAATTGGTTTTTTTTTTTTTTGAATAATGTTGAGCGTTTGTCCATACAGAGCCCTGAATATACTCTTTCTTGGAAGACACATTTTGGAACCCTTCACTTTTTGCATCTCAATTTATTGGCCACTAGAAGCACCTAACAGTTACATAACAATGACTCTGGGTTTTGACTTTGCTCTTTTTGCTCCTTAATTTACATCTCCATCATTGAACATTAATTACAAGGGTGGTCAATGTCATGGTTCCGAAAGAAGAAGCTTTTCAAAGAACTTTGAGGCTTTGTTTACCTTAAAGAATCCTTTTATTACTACATAGCTTCGGCACATACATAATGAAGCCAAAAACTGAATCCTCCCTCCCCCAATCACCTGTAACAAAGCATAACTCACTCCTTCATTTAACAGTCATCAATCACATTCATCAATTAGTTTGAAGTGTGAACTTTCCCTCCCCTAACTCCTCTGGTTACAAGTGACCTTGGAAATACTGTACTGAAATATTGTTGTGACTAACTATCCCCTGAGTACATACTTTCCCCCCTTCTCTTCTAACATTGTCTGACTTTAACTCTAGAAGTGATACACAGGTTAAATAAAACATGTTTTCTTCTTCATATGTGTCAAGCAAGAACATCCAATGTTAGCAGCCTTGACAGTCAACACTTTCATTTCTGCAATAGTGGTGAATATCTGTAGCTTGGGTGTAGGATGAGGGTGAAGGTTTGTTTTCCAATCTTGTAGGTTGGTTTCCAAATATTTTGTTACCAGACTCGGTAACATCGTTAGCGGAGTTTAGAGGATGTCAGGGTTAAGTGTTTATAAGGGCTTCAGATGTGGGGGTGTCAAGAGAGGGTCAGAGAACAGCAACTAAGATGATCAAAGGCCTGGAGACTAAAACATGAAGAAGGGCTGCAGGATTCGGGTTTTGCAAGTCTAAAGAAAAGAAATAGGGGAGACATGATAGCAATATTCCAGTATTTGAGAGGCTGCGCCAAAGAAGAGTGGGTCAAATTATTCTCCAAAGCACCAGAGGCAGGACAAGAAACAATGGTTGGAAACTGATCAAAGGGAGAAGCAACCTGGAATTAAGGAGAAAGTTCCTAACTGTGGACAATTAACCAGTGGAACAACTTGCCTCCAGAAATCGTGGGCGTTCCACCACTGAAGATTTTTAAGAAGAAACTGGATAGTCACTTGTTTCAGATGGTATAGATTCTCCTGCTTGAATCAGGAAGCTGGACTAGACCTCCAAAGTCCCCCCCAGATTCTATTCTATTCCCTTCCGTTCTATTCCATTCTATTGTGATGGGTCTTATGATGGGTCAGGTGTGAGTCATCAGTGAGAGGCTTCTGATGGGTCTTGTGATGGGGAGCAATTCCATCAACAGGCACATTGACCTACAACCAGCCTATGAACTCCTCAGAATCCAAATCAACCACACAGCCAACTGGAGAGAGCACCGACCTTCAACCAACCCATGTAAGCCCCCCAAAAGTTCACCTCTCAATGACCCTGGCCTGATGTAACCTCCCCATCTCAAAACCCATCACAAAACCCTCTCTTGACACCTGAAGCCCTTGTAAACAAGAACACTTTACACTGACGTCCTCTAAACTCTGCTGAAGATGTTACCTAGTCTGGTAATGAAATGTTCAGCAACCAACCCACAAGCTGAGAGAAAGAGCTTCACCCTCACTTTCAGTTCTCTTTTATTTAGTCTTCTGGCTTTCTCAACTCTTGGGATGATAAAAAAAAACACCATGCCAGGTTTAAGCTATGGATGGGCAATCTCAGCTTTGCTGTCATCATGCAATTTCTTCAATAAAGGTCCCTTTTGGTTTCCATTCTTTTAAGGACTAGTCTCCAAAATTATTTTTACATAAAGTTTCAGTCTTGTAGCTTCATTCTTCCTTTCTTAAATGCACTTTTTACCCATGCAGCACAGGACAGGAATCCGGACCCTGTTCCAGAGTTACAATGTCCAAGATCAAAGGTTTTCTTCTTTAGATCCCCAGTAATTTTCCGCACCTAATGACGAAGCTATGGTTGAATCGGTGGTTTGGGTTGAAATCCAGCCCCATAGATCTTTAGGAATTCCATCCAAAGCAGAGATTCTCTTGATTTAGAAGGGAGTTTGAACCCCTTCTGGCTTTTGGCTGATTACTTGACTCAGCTGGCCATGGGTGCTGAGGGAAACCCTTTCTGTCAAAAGATATCAGAACTCCAGCTGAATACCCCCTCCTATTTTTCCTACCACAAATGGCCTGTGAGTGGTTTACCAAAAGAGAATGACAGGCCAAAAGTCACCCAGCTGAGTTTCCCAACCTTTCGGCATTGGCGGCCTAGAGTGAGTGTGAGGAGAGAAAGAAGGGATGATTTTGTGCTGTGTGCTCGTGCATGAACACTGCAATGTTTGCAGTGATGCTCGTGTGAGTGGAGCCATGTACACTTTTTTAAAACAAATTTTATTGGTTTTTTAATTCTTAAAACAAAGTGCTCGAGACACACCGTGGTGCTGGGGTAATCAAACATCCAAAAATAAAACCATATATGAATAGCTCACATCAATACATCAAATATTCCCTCTCTATTTCCCTCAAATAGCATAATATATTAAAACTAATCCATTTCTAGATTAAGTTTCTATAAATCCTAAACCTGTTTTAGAGCATTATGACTTTACAATTAACATAATCAAATTTAACCTTAAATGAATACGTTCTCACTTCAGGTATCCCTTCCAGGTATAATCTAGTTCATGATCTCTTAAATCCTTAATTTTATCACAAGTCTCATTTATTTCTTCTTCCACTACACAATATTTATCCTAATTAAAATAAAATATTAGTCTAGACTATACATATTAGTCTAGACTATACATATAGTCCATCAATCAATCAATCTCTTTAACATAGCAAAATAATATCAAACCTTAAATCATTTCCATCCATTAGAGAAAATTCAAATTCCATCCAAATAATTATCATACCTAAAAAACACCCATGTTATCACACAAAAATGTCATCTTGCTCATTTAACATAATTAATTAATTATTAATCCAGATCTAAAAAGCCTCTTTAGTTTTCTTCATTCCATTACATAGTGGTTTTCATGGAAATAAACCTATTATTATTATTCCAAGAAATACATTCTTAATCTATTTAAGGTATATATTCTAATAATCACCCATTTTTCTTTTCTAACTCTAAATCTTAATCCTCAAATCATTCCATAATTCTACAGTGTCTTTTAATCCATTACATATAATTTTAAATTTCTCTTTTCAGTCTTATTCTGGCTTTCTTTTTGTGCCAGGTAGGTTTCCATAACAAAGCTTCCCTTTCAGTCGATAAATCTCCCTTTGTTGTTTGTAGTATCATTTGAATCAGTAAAAAGCATCCCATCCTCTGCATTGGGTGTCTATTTCTCTTGTCCTTAAAGCCTCATTGTTTTAAAGGTTCAAATCTCAGTCTTTGGTTCTTCTGATCCTCAAAGATATAGATGAAATGCTTGTAAGGTAAAATAAATGCCTCTTTAATCTCAGTTGATTCCTCTTCTAATGTGTTTTGATTTATACAATAGTCAGATGCTGTCTGTAAATCAGTTTGAACGTTTTGAGGTAAAGCTTATGGTTCTTAATTCTGTAGTAATCTCTTTCATTTTAGCGCATATTTCTTCAGTAGCCTCATGAATCTTTTCCAATATAAGTTTACAGTTTAATTGTGAATGAGGTTTCTCCATTTTAATAGTAATTGAAGAGAGTCCCTTTTATCTTTTAGTGGAGGCTGTCTTTAATAGAAGTTAAGCAGTATCCACCCCCACAATTTCCACAAGTACATCAGCTTATCTTTTCTCTTCAAAAATAGTTTGAAGGTCAAATCTACCTCATCTCCAGACAGTAACCAGCAGTTCCAGTATTAACTTTTCGCCACTAGATGTCCTCAGTAGGTTAAGAAATCTTTTCCAGACTCCATTTTTTCTGTCTTTTAAAGGAAAAGGTGGAAAAAGAAATAATCTTCCAGTGTAAAATAATAGTACAGCTCTAAAAAGGAGTTTTTTTCTGTTCCCCAAAGTAGATGAGAGTAAAATATAGTCATTAAAGTTATTTGTTCTATTCTTTTGTTCAACGCCTTTCTTCCCAAACATACAAAAGCTGCTTTTTCAAGATAAGGAAATAATTCCAACAAAGCTTTTACAGGCAAAAAGAACACAATAGGGTAAAGAGAGGAGCAGGAGTGGTCTCACCCGGATCGTCCGTGGTGAGGCTTTCATGCTTAGATGTACTTGTGACTTTCAGCTGGTGCAGCAGAGTAATCGGCCATCTTGCAGGATGATCTTTGCTCCGTCTGCCCTAAGGAGATAGCTGGAGCGCGAGAGAAGCTGCTGCCCTCCCGCAGCCACCAGCAAGCCTCCTCCCCACTAGGGAGTCTACTGGAGAAGAAAACACGGCCGATGTGGAGACGAGCTTCCAAACACGACCAGAGTCATCACAAACCGGAACCGGATGTTGAGCCATGTACACCCATGATGCACAATTGGGGCTGCGAATGCTCGCGCGAGTGGGGCCACAAATGCCGCGACGCTCACACAAATGCAGCCACAAACGCTCAGGATGATGCTCACATGAGTGGGGCTACAAATGTCATGGCAAGGCTCACATGAGTGGGGCTGCGAGTAGCCACAATACAGCAATGGTCACGTGACTGGGGCTATACGAGAGCATGAAGATTCGCACACAAACTAGCCACTCAAGTGGCATGGTAGTCAATGGACCGCAGCCCGGTAGTGGTCCACAGCCCACAGGTTAGGCCCCTTACCTAAGGGGTACTAGATCTCATGGTCCTCCAGTTTCTAATCCAGCACCCAAACGACTTATTATCATTATTTATTTATTTATTTATTTATAACATAT